AACGATTAAACAACAAAAAAGATGCTTAGAACAAAGTGGAGCAATATGAAGCATTTTTAACTCTTTAACTCCTAAATAAGCCGATACCCCCTGGAGCCTCAAGTGGCCTGACTAATCAAGCAAAGCATGAACTCTACTTGCAGCCCCTCTAGAAACCATTCCTGAGATATTCCTCCTTTTATGGCAAGACCTCATATACTGCTAAAATGCATTGAGAAGAAGCTGTTTCCAGGAACAGCATACAGCCATCAGCGAGAAGGGGCTCCTAAGGACCCACATTTCTTACTACAGCACAGTTCTGCCTTGCAGACTTCATTGCCCGGCTCTTGAGTCTCTCATTCCAGCCTTTTGGGAGCCAACAAAGCATGTCTTAAACCCTACTTGAAAATTCTACCAGCCCTCTTAGGAGGACAAGCTTAGATGCTGAACAGGGAATTCAGGTTCTAAAGAATCTCTCTCCTTTCATACTCTCCTGCCTTCCAGATCCTGAGATTAGGAAGAAAGCTTTAAAAATTCATGGGTAATCCTAGAAAAATGTTGGTAAGAGAGGTTACTCAACACCATTTTGAGGGATCCTAGGTTAACACCCAAGCCTTTTAAAAAATCTGCTGTATTTGCCTAAGCTCTCCATTTTGCAGAATCTTGTTTCCTTGGTGTAGTTTGTGCCTTTTGAGAAGGGGGGGGGGGTTTGGACTCGATCTCTAGTAGGGTCCACTTCTAGCTCTGCAGTTCTAAGATGACCATCATCACAGGTAACAGCAAAAGAAGGAAACATTAGTGTCTCCTTGGAAAACAGAGCACAGAGGATTGGCTTCATTTCAAAAGCAGTGGGGCCACATTTCCGATATTAGCCACCAAGGTTGTAGATTGCAAGGCCGTGGCTTTGGGCTGAACGGAGTGCTCAGACTTTCAAGGTCTTTATTAACTGATTATGTGACATCGATTCCAACGTACCTACTGTTGCCAGGGCTTCCTAGATATGAAATACCCAAAAGTGGTTTGCTGGGGAGCCTTGGGGACTGTGCGGTTTACCCAGGGATGCACGGGCTGGCTCTTCTCCCAGTGGACACAGTAAGGCATCCAACTCCCAGCTTCTGGCTCTGCAGCCAAGTGCCCAACTTACTGAGCTATTCAGCCGGACTCAAAATCCACACATAGCTGTTATGAATCTCGCCTCTGCCATGAAGAACTCATTAGGCAATCTGAAATGACCCGATCTTGATCTCTCAGCCTCCCATTCATGGAAATATGGGGACAATAAAACTAACCTGCCTTACAACACTGTGTCAAGAGTTACATACAAATAATAGATGCAAAGCTCTTTGAAACTCACTATATAACAGTTACCTAATTATCAAAATGCTAACCAGCATGACTGGAAACAGATTGCCTTTAACAGATGGAGGCCCCCTGAGAGGCAGCCTTTTTTGAACTTGGTGCAAATTGATATCAACCCAGTGGCGAGGATGGCCTAAAAACAATTCCTTTCTTTTCTTCCATTTCCCCACTTCTCTTTCTCTCCCCTCCCCCGCACATGGCTTTCTTTGTCTCTTTTGAATTTTGGTGTGATTTTACATCAAAGCAAACACTTTAAAACAAACAATAGTTTCTCTGAAGGCGTATGGGTAACTTCCTGTAACTTTTTGAGGATAACTTTGAGCCTGAACTTCACACATGGGCAATCTAAGGTCACAAAAGAAGGAAAAGGGGGGGGAGCTGCTCCCAGGACCACTGCAGTTCTCCCCTTTCAGGATACAAAAACCCACAAGCCTCCAGCCCCCACCCCCCTGATGTGCAGAACAGAGCCTGGAAATAAAGAGGCTGCTTGGTCTGAAGAGTGAAATGGATGGCTTCCACTTAGAGCTTGGGGAGAAGTTATTATTAATTTTTCTGAGAATGACAACCCTCCGAGAAACACCGAGCTGTCAACACTTTAAAACAAACAATAGTTTCTCTGCAGGCATATGGGGAACTTCCCCTAACTTTTTGAGGGTAACTTTGAGCCTGCTTTGAGCCTGAACTTCACACATGGGCAATCTAAGGTCACAAAAGAAGGAAAAGGGGGGGGAGCTGCTCCCAGGACCACTGCAGTTCTCCCCTTTCAGGATACAAAAACCCACAAGCCTCCAGCCCCCACCCCCCTGATGTGCAGAACAGAGCCTGGAAATAAAGAGGCTGCTTGGTCTGAAGAGTGAAATGGATGGCTTCCACTTAGAGCTTGGGGAGAAGTTATTATTATTTTTTCTGAGAATGACAACCTTCCAAGAAACACCGAGCTGTCCTGGCCACCACTTGGAGGATTTTATGAATGGCTGCCTTCCCGAAGCAGCAGTGGCCACAGAAGGTGGGTCAGCACCCCACCTAGGGCATGCTTCCTCCTTATTTCCCAAGGCAACTGTTTCCAATCTCAGCTGCCTTAGCTTTCCATCTGTCCCCAATATTCCACCACTTCCCTTCCCGTCTCTGCGCCCCGCCTGCCCTTCTCTTCACCTCCCTTCCAAGCTGTTTCCTGCTGGAATCCTGATAGCGGGTGGTTTAAAGAGACAGAACTGACATTTGCTGCCTCCTGGGCTTAATTTGAACCCGGGGTTTCCTTGTTAACCAACTCCAGCACCCTTGCCTTCTAATTCCCTAACAGAATATGTATATCCTAAATCTGGCACCAGGGTACAAAGGGGCAGGCCCCCCAATGCAAAGAGGGCTAGAGCTCACCCTGGCGTAGAGCAGGGAGGCACCCTTCCCATTCAGACCATGAAACAGAGGTATGGAATTGAACTACACCCCCTCCCCTCCGCGAGACATACTTCTTTAATTTGAAAACAACAACTACGAATAGCAAATACAGTAGGTGGGTTTCTAGTCCTTCTGGCAAAAATGTGCAAGGGTTGGCAAAGCGTGGTCCCCCCTGATGTTGCTGAACTACGACACCCATCAGTCATAACCAGTACAGCCAATGGTGAGGAATGTTGGGACCTGAAGTCCAAGGACGTCGGGAGGGCCACATTTTGTCAGTCCTTGCCTATGTATTGGTTGGGGCAACACACAGACAGGGCCTTGGGATGGTTAGAAGGCAGTTGCTGAATTCACTTCCCAGGAGCTTGGGCTTGAATGTCAACGCTCGAACCTTGTCCCTCCACTATAACCAAAAGGTGAGGTTTGCTCCTGAGCAGAAGCAAAGAAACATTGGGGGGGGGAGAGAGAGAGGTGGGCTTTTATTGCCCTCAGGGACAAGCCCACCATGTTTCATTCATGCCACTTCCTCCTTGCGTGGATTTCCCTGGGACTCACATACTGCAGAAAGGGGGCCCTTCTCTGGATTGTGCCTCAGTGATAAGATCTGTCCATCTCTCGGTCAGCCTGCTTTTTAAAGATGATTACTATCCACTGCCTGAGAACACAACTAGATAACTTTCTAGTCATGCAATGTGTTTTCTTTCTTATTAAGTTGCATTGCTTTAAATTAATTACATTGCTTTGAAATTATTTTTTTTGGCTGGCTCACTAACTGTATTCTCATCTTGAGGCCTCTGGATATGAGGGAGAAGAGAAACCGCAGTAACCATTCAACATCACAGGGTGCTGAAACCCTTAATTCCTGACTAACAGCAAGGGAGGTTCAGGGCTGGGAGCAGCAGCAGCAAAGGACTGACCAGAGGGAGGGGGGGTACAGTATTTAACCCTCCCTCATTCCCTCTGGCAACTTCTTCTAAACTTCAAGATAAGGAAACATGCCCAATGAGGGATGCCAACAAGAAGATGGAGGAGAAGCCGTGAGGGTTCCCTCCCGCCAACCCTTCCATAAAGATGTCCCGAGACTAGGCATGGCCATGATAGGGGCATAATTTGCGATTTCAGCCTCTTCACCTGCCCTCAAGACAAGATCACATCTGCTCAAGGACCATGAGAAAAAACTGAGTTCCTTTGAAGTTTTTTTTTTAAAAATGCATTCCTTAACCACCTGAGTTAAAGGCTCTATCATAAAGGTGGGCAGCTGGCAGCCCTCCCCATGTTTTGGGTCTGTTACTCCCATTCCCCACCCCCGGTAGCACAACCAATTTAGAAAGGATATGGGAGCTGAAGTACGAAACACAAGAAGAATGGCAAAATTGATACCATCCTTTCTCAGTCACTGTACCCCCTTCCTGGGATGTTTATGCAGGGTCACCTGGAACGGAATGGTCCCAGCCAGCCAAGCATCTTCTGTCATACTCTCACCTGAGCTACCCAGGGATCCAGAAGGAAGTGGGACACTAATGGACACTTAGGCAGAGAAAAGCAGCAAACAAGGCAAAATGCTAGAAACGAACTCTCTCCAGCTAAGAGTTCATGTACTGTTCTACCAGACAACACACGTTTAACCACTGCATAGTTGCAGGTTTTAACAATTGCATACCTGCAGCTGAGCTGAATCCAGAAGAATTAGAGCAGAGCCATGATTCTGCCCAGAACTTAGATCTTGCTTAATCAAACCACAGACAGACACATTTCAAGCCTAATTACCAAGGAGAAGGATTAGTTGCTCATGCTTTTCCTGCATTGGTTTGCAGAGTCAGTTCCCGCTTCCCACTGATGTAGAGCAGGGGGATTTTTTTTGGGGGGGGGGGAAGGGGCATACTTTAAGAGTCTTAGAAGATGAAGTCCAGAAAAGTAACTTTCCCCATCTCTGATCTAAAGGAATATAATCAGGAGGTGAACAGAGACCGTTCCATTTACCTACTAGCAAATTACCACACTGTGACACATCACACCTCCGTCGGAGGGAGCAGCATTTTAGGATGCATTTGGGGCTTTGCATTTCCAACAGCCAGAGATATAAGGGAGGGGTTCCCCAAACTTCCAGAACGATACCTGCTGGTTTCACACAGAGGCCATTTATGATCAAGGCAGAGGTGTCCCCCGTCTCCACACAGGCCCGCAGGTTAAAGTAACAAAAGGCATCACCCACAACAACGGTGGCCTGGCAGTACTGAGAAATGCCTCCACCCCTCTGCCCCACTCACCGACAAGGAGGCACAGGATATCCAAGGCCACCAAACCCTTTCTCAAGAGAACCCTCGGTGGGGCAAAGGTGTCAGGCTGGGATCTCTGGCTCCGGACAGTCACTCGGACCGTGGACCACCCCAAAGGCCCTGGGTGGCGCTGTTGCTGCTGCTGCTGCTGCTGCTCCTGGGGCAGAACCTGGAGGAGTTCAGACTGTTCTTTTGGCATGATCTTTTCAGACCAGCTTGTTTGCCCCTGCAGGATCAGGATGGATCCAGTTTCTCAGCCTCTGCGATAAAAACAGAAATCCGGAGCCTTGGTCTTCAGGCGGAGAAGAGGTCAATGGCGCCTCAGCCACCAGTTCCTGGCGGGCGGGCAGGCGGGGGGGGGGAACAACCCCTGACTTCTAGTCCCTGGTGTAGGCAGCAGGATGGAGGGAAATCCGAATCTGGAGCACCGGGGTGTGGCCGGGGATTGACGCTGTCTCCAGTTCAGCA